ACACACAGACAACCCGTAACAATATGCGTTTTGTACTGCTGTTACACAGCACAAAACGCATAATAAACCTCTATAACTCATCGCGACACAAATCACCCAGCTACGTGTTGGATTCTAGGGCAATAATTTTGTCTTAATTCGGATGGTGCACCATACACCATCAGAACTTTGTACAAACCAGATATTTTATCTTGGCAGGAAAATTTCCGTCTCGCAACCTGTTTGAAAATACGGCTGCGTGCTCACTCTCCATTCGGACTTGTTTCGTAGCATCGCATACTCTATGGAGCCTATTTTTGCCCTTCTTTTAAAACATTGATAGCGATGGCACTGTTTGCTGACTGTTTATCCAAAGGAGAGAGGAGGAGGGGTAGGGGAAATGAATTAAAAAAAAGTACTAAAAGAGATGATGTTCACCTCATCAGCCAGTCGTCAGAATAATCAGTAAAATCAGCGGAATTATTTAAGTCGGGTAAAGTCATTTCAGATTGTTGCTTAACAGAATTGGATGAGATAAAAAAGAACGGATGTGAGAGGAAGGGACTTCGGGGAGTGGGAGTGAGAGGGAGAGAGAGAAAGGGATGAACAAAACAGTTGGAAAGAAATCTGCGTTTTAAATAAATGTGTCAAATTTCGGAGTGTTTTTTTTTAGTGTTACAAATCGGCCGATCATCGACACCTACACTGTTCGAAAACGTTTGAACCAAATGTCTGTGTATAAAGCATCTTCCTCGTAACGATTTAAAAAACGGCCCGACGAAAAACTACCAAGATGCAGCCATTTTTGTGTCAAGTAATTTTGTCGAATTTCTTTAATTTTAGTAATTTTGTCACTTCCCCTCAGGAAGTTTGTCGAATTCCTTTTGAAGATTCGCTTTTTTTGTCTGCCCAATTGCCTTACTCTCATTTTAATGCGTTTTTGCTATACAAAAATTGTGCGCGTTTTTGTGTGTGTATGCCCATACGTATGTGTACGTATGTGTGTTGCGTATGCGTGCGTGAATTATTTCACCCACCTCCAACTCAAGAACCAGAAAAGCTTAGAAACTGAAACTTTTATAGGGTGTTCCCATTGCATGTGGGACCCACTCGTTTTGAACTTATCATCCACGTACGCTTGGATGTCGTGTACAGACGTCGAAAAGAAAATGTAAATTTTTTGGCAGAAAGCGATTTTTAGAAAATCATTCAGCGTAAGAAGCTAAAACTTTGCAGGAATGTGTCCCTGTCCACGTGTGAGCAAAAGATTTCAAATTAGCTGTAAATTCGCTTTCGTTACTTATACGGGCAATATGACTAGCTCGAGAATCGCTAAAAAATAACTGAAGTTTTGCGGGGACTCGTATGCCTGCACTACGCGTTAATTACGTATGCCTGCATTTTGGTTACGCCTGCATTACGTGTTAGATCAACTGCACCGAGTGTCCGGGCATACCGATGTATTTCTGGTTGTTTTACAAACTCATAAAAGCTTGCCACTGAAACAAATCGTAGAGGGATTGGCTATCTGATGACTAACTTACTATTGATTTGACGCTCAGAGTAGCGCCACTTTGTTGCCAAAACACCAAACGCACCGTGGAAGTTTAAGTTGTGACTACAATTACATACAAATTTTGTTGGGTGAAGCGACTTCAGTTACCTTTGCAAGCTGTCGGTACCGTTTGCGTATGAGCTGCTTGTAAACGTTGAGTTGTTGCGTGTTGGCGTCGCTGATTGCACTCGTACCATCGGATCACGTGCATTCATGGTACTATAGCCGTTGTAAAATTCTTGGTCGCCACGTTTCTGGTCCCATTCAGTTGACTTCTGTTTCTCTTCTTCCTCGACAATCCTTTCCATTTTCTTGCCACTTTCATATTTATAACCAATAATCGAATTACTACCATTATTATTGATGCGCAGTGTGAGCGATGCGGACATATCAGTGTTATCACTGTCTATTGCGGTGCCATTTGTGCTGGCGCCTGCTGTAATTCCAGTGCTGCCATCGGTGTTTCGCGTTTCCGTGTTTTCTGGTTCTATCTTCAGCTGTGGATTGGATTTGGATTGTGCGGTACTGTACTCACCAGATGCAGTATCGACTCGT